AAAAATTTAATTTGAGACAACATTAGCACCCAATTAACTCCGCAATCAGGCTGAGCAAGAATATTCTGATGATTCTTGCTGTCCGTATGCAGGTCAACAATTGTTTAAACGAATTTTTGCTTCTGCATGTGTCCCGCGTACAGATGCATCAAATATTCAAATTGCAACACTGGTGTTATCCTTTCCTTTCAGTAATCAGACACGAAAGCTGACATTTTACGAGAATGCGGCGTATCTTGCGCGACACTAAAAACGTATAACTAATTTTCATAGATGCCTACGTCACGTGCACGGATGAGTGGTATTTGAAGGCGTAAAATCGTGGGCAATCCCTATGCAAAATAATGTTGGAGGCTGAGCTTTCAACCGCCCCATAATACAACGCCATCATCCCAGACGACGCTCCTTTCCCCTTGCATACAGGGCCTTAAAATGGCTAAGCTAAGAAAACTGTTAAGCTAGTAATCCCATGAATAGACGAAATACGTCACAGTCATCTACAAAGGACTACCTGGCTATGCAGCATTCATCAAATGAGTTGAAAAACTTGCGAAATGCATAGGGGAAGAATAATGCTATAAAAATTGCAGCTGATCAAAGCACCAAAGTATCTTTTTTTTTACAAATATTGTTCCGGGTGATTTGAAAAGTCTAAAACCTGCATTATTCTTACAACGTTTTAAATACTTTTAGTAAACTAAGTAAGCTGAGCTCACCAAACTGCTGATAATTCAGTGCATACTGTACGCAAAAATATGTCCAAACATGCGTTATTTGTTAAAGCGGCTAACCTTTAGTGCACACCGATTGATGATATCCCACAGCAGTGTGCCACCACGTATCTTAGGAGTTTCTACTTCAAAATTGACATCGTCATACGGCGGCAAAACTAAATTGTTTCATAACAACAAAAGTTGGTTTCAAAAAAGCACGCTAACATAAGTTAGTAACTAACGTCGGTGCTCGATAACATTATACAAGCGACAGTGGTGAGTGTGGACTTAAGCACCAAGAATTTTATTTTTTTTGAGCTGTCGACCGAGGTATTCGTACAATTTAGCCTTGAATTTCGGAAGATAGAAAGAAAGGATGGGAAAATTGAAGAAAGTAAGGAAATTCTGACGAAAAAAGTTAGAAGAAAAAGACCTAATCTGACGCATAGTTTCAAGTCGGCTGGTGTTTTCAATCGCATTCGTTTTGATAAAAATTAAATGAAGCTACTTCGCAATTTCTAAAAAGGATTCGACGAATCCCTATCAAGGTATACTGAGGTTATCGGTAAACTCACATCCATTTATCAGGTCAATAAGCGCGTTGTTGATTTCAATCATTGCATCCAGCACATCTGCTGATACTGGTATGTTTAGGCCGTAATCCTTCTGAAAAAAAAATGTGAAACAAGCACTGACTTATAGGATAGCAATCTGGGATTAGTTGGATTTGCGGGAACACGACTGTAGTTGGAGCATTTTAAACATTGGTTTTAGGATCTGTATCACAAAACACTCTTACCCCTTGTTTACCGATAATATACGCCATTGGCTAACTTATAATTCAGTGAAATAAAGTTGTAAAAATTACTGGGTGCTCCAGGAAGAGCAATTTTTTGCGCCCTACAACCAAAAGAAAGGCAGATCTCTCTCTTTGTCGCAGAATAATGGCACAGTGCAAAATAATCGATTTACCTCGATCTGAAAAGCATCACGATATT